CAAGAGATCGCCTGCCAGCGGGCTGTACCTGAAACAGTTCGATTCGTCGCTCGTGAAAACGTTACACCCGGTTCGAACAAATTTTTTTTTTTTGCACGTGCTTTCGCCGATGAGTCGTATCGTCGTATCGTCGCCCCCCGCGATACAAGGCAAGAAAAAACGTTCTGCGTTTTGCGGGGTTGCGTCGTTCATTCTCCAAACGAAATCACCAAGTTGAAATTGTTTCGAACTTGTCGATTTCGCGCGAATTTTATTATTTTCCCCTATATTCGATTTACAAAAGAATTTCTTTGTTTGCGAATGCTGCTACTCAATGCTACGATAATTTTTTACTGTTCGTATTAAAAAAAAAGAAATAATAGACGAAACTTTCATTATTGATTGTATTGACCGTATTTTACATTGCCAGTTTATGAAAAAAAAATTATAAAATATTTTTTAAAAATAATCGAATAAATGCGATTCGGCCGAAAGATTTTCCTTTGCAATACATCCCTTTGATCTTATTATTGTAAAAAAAAAAAAAAAAAAGAAAAATATCATATTAAAATCGTGCAAACATTATACCATATAAAGTCACTCACATTAAAAAAAAGAAAAAATCATCGTTAAATCGTGCTTGAAATTCGGTAAAAAAAAAAAAAATGGCACAAACAGACCGTGTTTGTTAATCGAACGACATTAATTATCGCGTTGCAAAAAAAAAAGAAAAGAAATCGTTCCGCTTTCGTTGAAATTAACGTCGACAGGAGACTCTTGGGAGAAGTAATCGTTGCGCAAGACTGCATGCAATACTACGCTAAAAGCGTTCTAAACGAATTAGGCGCGGCTCGATGCTAACTACTTGACTTTTCAAATTTCTTCAATTTCTATTAATTAAAAAACGACAACGAAGAACGGCACAAGGAATGAAAAAGTAAGGGGGCGGTAGAATCGTAAATGAATAATCGAGGGGAGGGGAAATCGCATGCACCCGGGCGGGGGTTATCGTTAAATCGGCATGCTGAAAATTACGGTCGAATGCGAGGAAATGAAAAAAAGAAAAACACGTTTACGAGGTGGGATATATTTACAGAGATGTAAAAATGTAATCTACGTACCTACTTGACGTCACAAGCCGCGTTAAAACAGGGCACATCTCAGTGAGTATTCATTATAGGGCCGAGGTGACGGTAATTACGCACGCATTCGTTACGAACGCTCATTAGGAATCGCGTGTTTTTTTTTTTCTTTTTTCTTTTTTTATACGCACGCGTATGTACAACGCGTCTGCAATAGTTGGGAGTGTGGTTTTTTCCTTTAACGAAAGGAAACCTCGAACGAACCCTAAACTCGATTCAGTTTTTTTTGTCTCTTCGTTTTATTTTCATCCTCTTTTCTTTTTGCTTTCTTTCTTTTTTTTTTTATTATTAATTATTATCGTTTATCAAAATATATATATATATTTCTTTCTTTCTTTTTTTTTAATATTAATTATTATCGTTCATCGAAATATATATATATATATATTTCTTTCTTTCTTTTTTTTTATTATTAATTATTATCGTTCATCAAAATATATATATTTTTTTCTTTCTTTTTTTTTATTATTAATTATCGTTCATCGAAATATATATATATATTTGATAATTGATAAAAGAAAAAAAATTAAATGGAATGATCGAGTTAAAGGTTCAAGTTGGGTCAAGTTGTTTAATAGAAGCGAGGCGTTCTCTCGTGAAAGAAGAATCCACGTGTTTCGTTTAACTATCCGATATATGTATATATATACACTGGTTCGACTATCGTTTGGTTAATTTTATATATTTGTAGAAACGTTCGATCGGAAATATATTTAATTTCTCGGAATCAGAATCTAAAAGCAGGATCTACAATTGAAACATCGAAAGAAACGAAAAATTTATTTATTATAGACGATCGATCGTTTCAATTACGAAAGTCGACACATCGGTGCATTGTTCTCTAACGATAATCAAGTGCGATTCTCTTGCATTGGTGTGTGCCAACAAAAATACATATATCTATATATGTATATATATATGTATGTATATCTATGGTTCACGTGAATTCACGTGATTGCTTTTTCAGAGATCGTGCACCTAACGTTGTTCTCAGCTCAACACCAATAATCTAACCAACGATCTTTCAATAAATATCGTTACTCTATTAAATGATCTACCATTGAACATTGTCGCTCGATGCGAAAATGATTCGTGTGTTTTTTCCATACGTTATGCATATTCGTTTATTCGTCAATCGAATGATCAAATTATCCTCTGTTAATTTTTGAAAAAATTTTGGAAAAAATGGACGATTGATCGTCGGTGGAGAGACCAAGAAATCGCAGGTGCACAGTCTTTTGAGTCGAACACGACCGATGAAGGCAAAGAATCAAAGAAAAGAAATAGTGAAGAAGGAGAAGAAAATGCGAGCCTGTCGAGGAACGTTGATTCGAGTCTCTATTTGCAATTTTTTTCTATTTCTCCTTTTTTTTAAATTCCTTTTTCCTTTTTTTTTTTTTTTTCTCTCTCTTAGGCAACGAGACGATCCGTAGTTTCGCGAGAATGATTTTAATTCTATGATTTTTCATTCTTCTTTCGACAACGATTGAAAAATCGGTCGAAATCCGTCTGTACAGTCCGTACATGTGTTGACTATGTTACATTACTCTTAGTCAGGATATTATTCAGAAGCTTGATTGAAAGCTAACAGGTTAAAAGAAAAAAGAAAATTCTACGGTTTGTATTGAAATAGAATCGAGTAAATCAGAGTGAAACGTATACTTGAAACTCGCGAAACTGAGAACAAAAATTTTTTTTAATTCTTCGTATAGAACGTAGAGATGATTAGAAAAAAAAAGAAACGAGGTAATCGAAAAAAGAGAGTAGAGGCATGTTTCGTTCTTTCTTTTTCTCTTCCGAGTACCATACCAAAGGAAATTGTGAAAAATTATGAATCGTGAAATTGCAAACCCGAATCGATTCGCATTCTCGAGAAAGCGGTAAGATATGCTTTGTGACGTTTTGTGGGTAGAGAAGCGTTTGAAGGATGACAATTAAAACGAAACGAAAGGCAACGAAGAAGGCAAAGAAGAGAAGAGAAAGTAGAATAGTGTGAGTCGAGAGGGGAAGAGAGAAAAGGCCTTAAAAATTTCATATAAGACGTATATTGTTATCGAAAAAAGAAAAATAAATTTCGATCAATTTCGACAAATATAAAATATTTATAACTTCGGTGAACAATCGATTAATACCGCGATTAAAAAATATACGTACAATGTAGAATTTCGAGCGTATAATTTACGGGGAGAAAAAAAAAAAAAAAAGAAAGGAAGAAAAAAAAATAAGATAATAAAAATCTTGGTTCAAATTAAAAAAGAAAAAAAGAAAAAAAAAAAAGATCGCATCATATGAAATTTTTAACGCGGAGCGTGTGTGGAAAGTAAGAGAACGAAGCCACGCAAGAATTAGAAATCAATCATCGAAAAAATGAAAAACCGGGAGGGAACGTAGTGGTAGTAACGAAAAAAATACTGACCTCTGTAAGCCTTTGTTAATGGCAAGCATGGCCTTGCCAGTGCTAAAACAAAACACAAAAAGAACAACGTAAGAAGAGAGATACTCCGGGAACGAGCCAATAAAATCGGGATAAGATTCAGTCGCTTCCTTGTGCTTCCGTTTTCTTTTATTTTTTTTTTTTTTTTTTTTTTTTTTTTTTTTTTTTTT